AAAGTTCACCACAAGTTGAAAAATTGGTAACAATAGTCAGGGTTTTTCAGTTATTTCAGAAACCCTCAATCTGATCACAAGTTCAGTGTATGTTGCAAATGTGGTCAAACAATTAGAGAAATCGCTTTTAAAACATACAGACAAGGAAATTTTATATTCATATCTATTATGCATGAAAATAATCCTAGAAAAACAGAGAACATTAATAAACACATCAGAGTGCATTCTTCACCTCCGAGGTTTTTAGTAAAAGAGAATGCTCATGTAGATAGGCTCACAATGCCCATCTTGCAGACACTGCCAGACATTTTTGAGCAGGCAAAATTGAGCCATGCATGTTTTCACAAAAATGCACAGGCATTGATGGGAACCTTTCACCCTTCTGAAAGTCAGACAAAGGAAATCTGCTTGCCAGAGAGCCAGTTTGTGCAGTCTCCTGTATTTACAGGAGTGGTCGATCTGAAAGGTTTGTAAAAGCCTTCAGCTGTGGCAAGTTGATGTCACAAAATACCCATCTTTTGAGAGGCTCGAAAATATCCGTATTTCAATTGATACATTTTCAGAGGCGATTTTTGCATCATTATATACAGGGGAGATCACAGAACATACCTGCAAACATTTTTTATAAGCATTTACATCATTAGGAGTGCAACAAGAAATAGAAACAGATAATGGTCCAATTTACACAAGCAAGGTGCTTGACAAATTTTTGAAAAAACAGAGAGTCAAACATATTTTCAATATTCTTCATTCTCCCTCAGGTCAAGCAAGCAAAGAACACATCACACCCTGAAATCCACTTGAATAGAAAGAAAAGGGAGGAGGCAGGGTTGAACAAATGTGTTGAATTTTTTAAATGGTTTTTTCTCAAAGCCCACTCTACTAATTGTCAGATATGTTACAAACAACCCACAGGAAAAACTAAGGGAAAATCCTTTTGATTTGATCAGAAACCCAGAGTCAGGACAGATTGAAGGTTCATTTACATTAATAACTTGGGGCGAGGGTTTCGCTTGTGTTTCTATAGGACGAGGACTGAAGTGAATGCCAGCAAAGCACATGTAACCTTATCGGGTGCAGACGCCAGTGGACGTAGACCCGAGAAGCAGAGAAGCAAGCACGCAGACGAAGGCAGACAACAACGCTGCAGACGTCTCGTCGGACAACGATTGATCACCCAGAGACTTGGGGTTTTTTCTGAGAAATCAAGTGTTGTTTGGGTGTTGCTGCATTGCGGGGTTTCTCACAGAGGGTGGGGACATGGACATGGGATTCAGACAGATAGTGTTCATGTGCTTCATTCTTTCACCTGTTGCCTTGGGCAACAGGACAAATTTTCCCATGAGACAACCCAGGGAAAAAGTGTGGGAGACTTTGGCAAAAGCAGCTGGTCTGAACAGCATTTGCCTGACCCATTCGAAACCAGAGAAACCATTTTCAACATGCTTGGTAGGTGGGCCAGTGGAGGGATGGTCAGTCCCAGGGGACATCCTTCCAGGGGTTCTGAAGTTTCTTTCAGACCCTGTGGAGGGATGACATGTTTGGACACAATTCCTTCCTGTGGCTCACTTTGAACCTCTGGATTTGGACATTTTTGGGTCAACAAAAATGAAATGGTGCTTCAAATTTAATTCATCAGGAGTGGCAAAGACAGATAATCATACAATAGATGTCACTCCGAATCAGCCTTTTTATAAAAATGCGTCATCTTGGTGCAATCATACCAAAATGACAAGCAAACCATCCTTTCAACATCCAGCCACTTTACCAAAGGGAATGTTTTTCATTTGCGGGGACAGAATTTGGCCTGCTATCCCTGCAAAAATCAAGGGTGGTCCATGCAGCATTGAAAGATCTTTTGTTAACACACAGCATGACCTTGATAAGAGAGCAAGGAGAAAAAAATCTGATGAATGAAATGATCCAAATTGTGACAATGATAATGTTAATACCAAGAAAAAAGGCTCGGGAAAACTGAGTGGTTCTGCTTTCACAGCAGGTGGCATCAAAAAGAGCCTTGGTGCAGTTGGATCAAAAGAGGTTGTGGGCAGAGTAAAGATGCCCATGTCATTTCTTTTGCATCGAATGATTTGTTAGCTAGCAGTGAAAAATGAGAACAAAACAGTAATTGAACATCTATTGTAAACACATGGACACACGAGTGAAAATTTAAAGAGGTATCAGAGGACCAAACACACCTGGAGAAAAATTAAATCATAAGTAGATGGTGTGTTCAATTTGTTTCACCTTTCACAGTTGTAGAAAAGAGATTTTGAAAATAGTTGTATGTAATTATAAGGTATTGTAATTCTTCTGATGTTTGTGCTGTCCTTGCCTCAGTGCATGAGGCAGACCATGGACAAAGTTGTCAAAGAGGTGTTCTTGATTCAAAAAGGAAAGGATCCCTAGAACAATATAGTCCAAATTATGATGATGATGTTTCTACCTGGGACAAGTCTCGGAGAATTGCAGTAGCAATTTTCTCACCCCAAGCAGCATCAGGGGCGGCCTTGACACAATTGGATCATATAGCATGTTGGTTGAGGAAACACAGTCGTGCCATTTCGTTTGCACTGAGTGACATGTTAACAGACATCAACAGTGCAAGGCAAGCAGTGCTTCAAAACAGGGCGGCAATTGATTATTTGCTGCTGACACATGGGCACGGATGTGAGGAATTTGAGGGAATGTGCTGCATGAACTTGTCCGATCATTCAAAATCTATTCATAAAAATATAAAACAAATACAAAGTAGTATTAGCAAATTGAACAAAGTTACAGGGTCCTGATGGGATGATTTGTTTAGCTTTTTTGATATCTCACCATTGTGGAAAGAACTTTTGAAAATAGTATTTTATATTCTTATAGGACTTGTAGTTCTTCTGCTTGTTCTACCATGCATTTTCGTGTGTATTTGAAAGACCTTGAACAGCATGATAAAGCGGGTGTTTCTGGTTCAAACAGAGAGGGGAGATGTCGGAACTCAAAATATCCCTCAGACATTTTTAGAGGTTCCAGGCCTTGGTCAGAAGCATTTTAGACCCTGGCAAGCAGCTGAAAACAGCTGTGATTTTGAGTTTGAACCATGGAATGAATTACCAACTTTAAAGGTGGAACAAGTAGTCACAGAGGGTTAGATGATATAGTAAAAGTAGTCACAAATTAGAGGGTAAAATTTTTTAGTATTGTACAGGGGGGCTTTAACACCTGTACAGGGGGGTTTTACTTTGTACAGGGGGATCAGGAGTTCTAAGATGGAGGAAAGTGGACCTGATCCTGTTCTTCCTCCTTCTTCTTCCTTACCTCCATGTTCTTGGTGATGTTGGCATTTTTCTATTGGTTTACGCTGGGGACACACTGTTCAACGTAGATGATAGATATTGGCACATTATTGTAAATATAGTACACGTAATTTCTGGTATATAATGTTTCTACCATCCCACTGAGGTGCAGAGCCCCGCACGCTGCCCTGCAGGACAGACCAGCGGCAGGGCAGCAGAACATGTTATAGATAAGCAAAAAAAAACAACCTTGAAACCAGCACAGACGAACTATGGCTTCTTCTTTGGCAACGGGGCAGAAAGACAGAGACTTTCTACAATCTCGGAATCACGAATAACCACAGATTCCGACACCCTACAAACTGACATCAGGAACCTGGACTGGTGAGTTTTCTTTCCCAGGCAAAAGAGCCGATGTTTGTGCTCCGAGTCCTGTGGCCTTTAGTGGGCAGCTCACTGCAAAAAATCGGAACATCGAGAGATAAGTCCCAGACAGGAGCTGCCCCCACCTCATACTTGTGCTGCCCTGACAGTCCCAGGGGAGCCCTACAAACTGACATCAGGAACCTGGACAGGTGAGATTTCTTTGCCTGGCAAAAGAGCTGATGTTTTTGCTCAGGGTCCTGTGGCCCTGAGCGGGGAGCTGACTGCAAAAAATCCGAACATCGAAGGGTAAGTCCCAGACAGGAGCTGCCCCCACCTCATACTTGTACTGCCCTGACAGTCCCAGGGGATCCCTACAAACTGATATCAGGAACCTGGACTTGTGAGTTTTATTTCCCTGGGAAATCAGCCGATGTTTTGCTCAGGGTCCTGTGAACATGAGCGGGGAGCTGACTGAAAAAAATCCGAACATTGAAGCATAATTCCCAGACAGGAGCTTCCCCCACCTCATACTTCTGCTGCCCTGACAGTCCCAGGGGAGCCCTAAAAACTGACATCAGGAACCTGGACTGGTGAGTTTTCTTTCCCAGGGAAAACAGCCGATGTTTGTGCTACGGGCCATGTGGACCTGAGCGGGCAGCTGACTGAAAAAAATCGGAACATCGAGAGATAAGTCCCAGACAGGAGCTTCCCCCACCTTATACTTGTGCTGCCCTGACAGTCCCAGGGGAGCCCTACAAAATGACATCAGGAAGCTGGACTGGTGAGTTTTCTTTCCCAGGGAAAAGATCCGATGTTTGTGCTCCGGGTCCTGTGGAAATGAGCGGGCAGCTGGCTGCAAAAAATCGGAACATCGAGAGATAAGTCCAGACAGGAGCTGCCCCCACCTCATACTTGTGCTGCCCTGAGAGTCCCAGGGGAGCCCTACAAACTGACATCAGGAACCTGGACGGGTGAGTTTTCTTTCCCAGGGAAAAGAGCTGATCTTTTGCTCGGGGTTCTGTGGTACTGGGCGGTGAGCTGACTTCAAAAAATCAGAACATTGAGAGAGAAGTCCCAGACAGGAGCTGCCCCCACCTCATACTTGTGCTGCCCTCACAGTCCCAGGGGAGCCCTACAAACTGACATCAGGAACCAGGACTGGTGAGTTTTCTTTCCCAGGCAAAAGAGCCGATGTTTTTGCTCAGGGTCCTGTGGCCCTGAGCGGGTAGCTGACTGCAAAAAATCCGAACATCGAAGGATAAGTCCCAGACAGGAGCTGCCCCCACCTCATACTTGTGCTGCCCTGAGAGTCCCAGGGGATCACTACAAACTGACATCCGGAACCTGGACTGGTGAGTTTTCTTTCCCAGGGAAATCAGGCGATGTTTTATTCAGGGTCCTGTGAATATGAGCGGGAAGCTGACTGAAAAAAATCCGAACATTGAAGCATAATTCCCAGACAGGAGCTGCCCCCACCTCATACTTGTGCTGCCCTGACAGTCCCAGGGGAGCCCCACAAACTGACATCAGGAACCTGGACTGGTGAGTTTTCTTTCCCTGGCAAAAGAGCTTATGTTTTGCTCGGGGTCCTGTGGCACTGGGCGGTGAGCTGACTTCAAAAAATCAGAACGTTGATAGAGAAGTCCCAGACAGGAGCTGCCCCCACCTCATACTTGTGCTGCCCTGAGAGTCCCAGGGGATCCCTACAAACTGACATCAGGAACCTGGACTGGTGAGTTTTCTTTCCCAGGGAAATTAGCCGATGTTTTGCTCAGGGTCATGTGGACATGAGCGGGGAGCTGACTGAAAAAAATCCGAACATTGAAGCATAATTCCCAGAGAGGAGCTTCCCCCACCTCATACTTGTGCTGCCCTGACAGTCCCAGGGGAGCCCTACAAACTGACATCAGGAACCTGGACTGGTGAATGTTCTTTCCCTGGCAGAAGAGCCGATGTTTGCGCTCCGAGTCCTGTGGCCCTGAGCCGGCAGCTGACTGCAAAAATCTGAACATCAAAGGATAAGTCCCGGATAGGAGCTTCCCCCACCTCATACTTGTGCTGCCCTGACAGTCCCAGGGGAGCCCTACAAACTGACATCAGGAACGTGGACGGGTGAGTTTTCTTTCCCAGGGAAAAGAGTCGATGTTTGTGCTCAGGGTCCTGTGGACATGAGCGGGCAGCTCTTTGCATAAAATCGGATCATCGAGAGATAAGAGCCAGAAATGAGCTGCCCGTACATAATACTTGTGCTGCCCTGAGAGTCCCAGGGGAGCTCTACAAACTGACATCGTGAACCTGGACGGGTGAGTTTTCTTTCCCTGGGAAAAGAGCTGATTTTAGTGCTCCGAGTCCTGTGGCCCTGGGCGGGCAGCTGACTGCAAAATATCCGAACATTGAAGGATAAGTCCCAGACAGGAGCTTCCCCCAACTCATACTTCTGCTTCCCTGACAGTCCCAGGGGAGCCCTAAAAATTGACATCAGGAAGCTGGACAGGTGAGTTTTCTTTCCCTGGCAAAAGAGCCGATGTTTTTGCTCAGGGCCTTGTCGCCCTGAGCGGGCAGCTGACTGCAAAAAATCCGAACATCGAAGGATAAGTCCCAGACTGGAGCTGCCCCCACCTCATACTTGTGCTGCCCTGACAGTCCCAGGGAATCCCTACAAACTGATAGCAGGAACCTGGACTGGTGAGTTTTCTTTCCCAGGGAAATCAGGCGATGTTTTATTCAGGGTCCTGTGAATATGAGCGGGAAGCTGACTGAAAAAAATCCGAACATTGAAGCATAATTCCCAGACAGGAGCTGCCCCCACCTCATACTTGTGCTGCCCTGACAGTCCCAGGGGAGCCCCACAAACTGACATCAGGAACCTGGACTGGTGAGTTTTCTTTCCCTGGCAAAAGAGCTTATGTTTTGCTCGGGGTCCTGTGGCACTGGGCGGTGAGCTGACTTCAAAAAATCAGAACGTTGATAGAGAAGTCCCAGACAGGAGCTGCCCCCACCTCATACTTGTGCTGCCCTGACAGTCCCAGGGGATCCCTACAAACTGACATCAGGAACCTGGACTGGTGAGTTTTCTTTCCCAGGGAAATTAGCCGATGTTTTGCTCAGGGTCATGTGGACATGAGCGGGGAGCTGACTGAAAAAAATCCGAACATTGAAGCATAATTCCCAGAGAGGAGCTTCCCCCACCTCATACTTGTGCTGCCCTGACAGTCCCAGGGGAGCCCTACAAACTGACATCAGGAACCTGGACTGGTGAGTTTTCTTTCCCTGGCAAAAGAGCCGATGTTTGCGCTCCGAGTCCTGTGGCCTTTAGCGGGCAGCTGACTGCAAAAATCTGAACATCAAAGGATAAGTCCCGGACAGGAGCTTCCCCCACCTCATACTTGTGCTGCCCTGACAGTCCCAGGGGAGCCCTACAAACTGACATCAGGAACCTGGACTGGTGAGTTTTCTTTCCCAGGGAAAAGAGCCGATGTTTGTGCTCAGGGTCCTGTGGACATGAGCGGGCAGCTCTTTGCATAAAATCGGATCATCGAGAGATAAGAGCCAGAAATGAGCTGCCCGTACATAATACTTGTGCTGCCCTGAGAGTCCCAGGGGAGCTCTACAAACTGACATCGGGAACCTGGACTGGTGAGTTTTCTTTCCCAGGGAAAAAAGCTGATGTTTGTGCTCCGAGTCCTGTGGCCCTGGGCGGGCAGCTGACTGCAAAATATCCGAACATCGACGGATAAGTCCCAGACAGGAGCTTCCCCCAACTCATACTTCTGCTTCCCTGACAGTCCCAGGGGAGCCCTAAAAATTGACATCAGGAAGCTGGACAGGTGAGTTTTCTTTCCCTGGCAAAAGAGCCGATGTTTTTGCTCAGGGCCTTGTCGCCCTGAGCGGGCAGCTGACTGCAAAAAATCCGAACATCGAAGGATAAGTCCCGGACAGGAGCTTTCTCCACCTCATACTTGTGTTGCCCTTAGAGTCCCAGGGGATCTCTACAAACTGACATCAGGAACCTGGACTGGTGAGTCTTCTTTCCCAGAGAAATAAGCGGATTTTTGTGCTCAGGGTCCTGTGGTCGTGAGCGGGCAGCTGACTGCAAAAAATCGGAACATCAAAGGATAAGTCCCAGACAGGAGCTGCCCTTACCTCATACTTGTGCTGCCCTGACAGTCCCAGGGGAGCCCTACAAACTGATATCAGGAACCTGGACTGGTGAGTTTTCTTTCCCAGGGAAAAGAGGCGATGTTTGTGCTCAGGGTCCTGTGGCCCTTAGCGGGCAGCTGACTGCAAAAAGTCGGAACATCGAAGGATAATTGCCAGACAAGAGCTGCCCCCACCTCATACTTGTGCTGCCCTGACAGTCCCAGGGGAGCCCTACAAACTCACATCAGGAACCTGGACTGGTGAGTTTTCTTTCCCAGGGTAAACAGCCGATGTTTGTGCTCAGGGTCCTGTGGCCCTGAGCGGGCAGCTGACGCCAAAATATCGGAACATCGAAGGACAAGTCCCAGACAGGAGCTGCCCCCACCTCATATTTTTGCTGCCCTGAGAGTCCCAGGGGAGCTCCAAAAACTGACATAAGGAACCTGGACTGGTGAGTTTTCTTTCCCTGGGAAAGGAGCTGATTTTTTTGCTCAGGGTACTGTGGCCCTGAGCGGGCAGCTGATTGCAAAATTTTGGAACTTTGAAGGATAAGTCCCAGACAGGAGCTGCCCCCACCACATAATTGTGGTTCCCTGGCAGTCCCAGGGGAGCCCTACAAACTGACATCGGGAACCTGGACTGGTGAGTTTTCTTTCCCAGGGAAAAGAGGCGATGTTTGTCCTCCGAGTCCTGTGGCCCTGAGCGGGCAGCTGACTGAAAAAAATCGGAACATCGAAGGATAAGTCCCGGACAGGGGCTTCCCCCACCTCATACTTGTGCTGCCCTGAGAGTCCCAGGGGAGCCCTACAAACTGACATCAGGAATCTGGGCAGGTGAGTTTTCTTTCTCAGGGAAAAGAGCGGATTTTTGTGCTCCGGGTCGTGTGAACCGGAGCGGGCAGCTGACTGCAAAAAATCTGAATATCGAAGGATAAGTCCCAGACAGGAGATGCCCCCACCTCATATTATTGCTGCCCTGACAGTCCCAGGGGAGCCCTACAAACTGACATCAGGAACCTGGACTGGTGAGTTTTCTTTCCCAGGGAAAAGAGCCGATGTTTTGCTCAGGGTCCTGTGGCCCTGAGCGGGGAGCTGACTTCCAAAAATCGGAACATCGAGAGATAAGTCCCAGACCTAAGGGACTAGGTCCCTTAGGAACCTTGAGGAACATTTCAGGAACATCTCATGAACCCGGAGGAACGCCTGAGGGACATCTCAGGGACCCTGAGAAACCATGAGGGACCCTGAGGAACCCTGGGGAACACCTCAGGGCCACCTCAGCCACCAGGGACACTGAGGCACATCTGAGGGACAGCTCAGGGATCTGGGGACACTGAGGGACATCTCCTGTCCCACCTCTGTCCCAGTGCCACCCCTGGCAGTGTCCCAGGTGTCCCCAGTGTCCCAATGTCCCCAGCTGCCACCTTCATGATGCTGAAGAACATCTCCTGGACCATCTCCTGGCCCTGTCCCACCCCAGCTCCATGTCCCAGTGCCACCCCTGGAGATGTCCCCAGTGTCCCAAATGTCCCCATGTCCCTGTGTCACCTTCATGACATTGAAGAGCATCTCCTGGCCTTGTCCCAGTGCCACCCCTGGAGATGTCCCCAGTGTCCCCAATGTCCCCATGTCCCCATGGTGTCACCTTCATGACATTGAAGAGCACCTCCTGGCCCTGGCCCTGTCCCACCCCTGGCAGTGTCCCAGTTGTCCCCATGTCACCTTCATGACGTTGAAGAGCACCTGCTGGCCCAGGCTGGGCTGGCCCCTGGAGATGTCCCCAATGTCCCCATGGTGTCACCTTCGTGACATTGAAGAACATCTCCTGGCCCTGTCCCAGTGCCACCCCTGGAGATGTCCCCAATTTCCCCCTGTCCCCAATGTCCCCGATGTCCCCATGTCCCCCTGTCCCCATGTCACCTTCATGACGTTGAAGAGCACCTCCTGTCCCTGTCCCACACCTGGCAGCGTCCCCATGTCCCCAATGTCCCCAATGCCCCCAATGTCCCCATGTCCCCAATGCCCCCAGTGTTCCCAATGCCCCCAATGTCCCCAGTGCCCCCAATATCCCCATGTCCCCATGTCCCCAATGTCCCCACTGTCCCCAATGCCCCCAATGTCCCCATGTCCCCAATGTCCCCACTGTCCCCAATGCCCCCAATGTCCCCATGTCCCCAATGTCCCCAGTGTCCCCAATGTCCCCATGTCCCCAATGTCCCCAATGCCCCCAATGTCCCTGATGTCCCCATGTCCCCAATGCCCCCAATGTCCCTGATGTCCCCATGTCCCCAATGTCCCCAATGTCCCCAGTGCCCCCAATGCCCCCAATGTCCCCATGTCCCCATGTCTCCACTGTCCCCATGTCCCCATGTCCCCATGTCCCCAGTGCCCCCAGTGTCCCCAATGCCCCCAATGCCCCCGATGTCCCCAGTGTCCCCCTGTCCCCATGTCACCTTCCTGACGTTGAAGAGCACCTGCTGGCCCAGGCTGCGCTGCCCGCTGAAGAGGGTGTGCTCGGGGTAGGTGCGGGCAAAGTTGCGGCAGATCAGGCGCTCGCAGGGCAACGACACCCACAGCAGCTCCGGGTAGCGCGCCTTGAGCGGCAGTTCAGCCGCGCCACAGAGCCGCTGCCACCCCGCGGCGCGGAACTGCTGCGGGATCCCCTTGCGGATCAGCTCCTGGGGACACGGGGACACCAGTGTCACCCCAGTGTCACCCCAGGGTCACCAATGTCACCCCAAATGTCACACCAAATCCCAAACCTGACCCCAAACCCCACTGTCCATGCTGCCCCAGGGCACAGCCGCTGCCACACCACGGCCCGGAACTGCTGCGGGATCCCCTTGCGGATCAGCTCCTGGGGACACCAGTGTCACCCCAGTGTCACCCAAATGTCACCCCAAACCCATAACAGGATCCTAAACATGGCCCCAAAGTCGCTGTCCCCAAATCTGCTGCCCCAGGGTACAGCCGCTGCCACACGATGGCCTGGAAATGGGGCAGGATCCCCTCTGGGATCAGCTCCTGGGGACACAGACCCCAAACCTGACCCCAAATGTCACCCCAAACCCCAAACATGACCCCAAGCATGACCCCAAACCCCAAACGTGACCCCAAACCCCAAACCTGATCCCAAACCCGACCCCACACCCCACTGTCCCTACTCCTGGCACCACGGTGGCCCAGAAGTGCTGCAGGATCCAAATTGGGATCAGCTCCTGGGGACACACCGACCCCAAATGTCACCCCAAATGGGACCCCAAATCCCAAATGTCACCCCAAACATGACCCAAAATCTCATTGTCCCTACTCCTGGCACCACGGTGGCCCCAAAGTGCTGTGGGATCCCTTTTTGGATCAGCTCCTGGGGACACACAGACCCCAAATGTGACCCTAAATGTGACCCCAAACGTCACCCCAAACCCCAAACATGATCCTAAACTCATCCCATTGACCCCAAATGTCACCTCAGATCTGCAGCTGCCACACGATGGCCCAGGAGTGCTGCAGGATCCCCTTTGGGATCAGCTCCTGGGGACTCCAAACGTGACCCTAAATGTCACCCCAAATCCCAAACTTGACCCCAAATATGACCCCAAATCCCAAATACGACCCCATACCCCAATGGTGACCCCACACCCCACTGTCCCTGCTCCTGGCACCGCGGTGGCCCAGAAGTGCTGCAGAATCCCCTTTGGGATCAGCTGCTGGGGTCAGTGGGGTCAGGGGTCAGTGGTCGGGGTCAGTGGGGTCATGGTCACCCCAAATGTGGGATGGTCAAATCCTGACCCAAGCCGTGTCCTCCTGTTGGACAAACCCATCCCAAAACTCAACAAATTGGAGAAAAAATCAACCGAAAAACCAAATAAATTGGATAAATCCATCCCAAAATCTGGAGAAATCCACCCCAAAACCCCAAAAATTGGGTAAATCCATCCCAAAATTCAACAAACTGCACAATTCCACCCCAAAACCCAACAAACCTGACAAAAATCCACCCCAAATCCCAACAAACTGGACAAATCCACTCCAAAACACAACAAAATGGAGAAATCCAACCCAAAACCCAACAAACTGGACAAAGCCACCCCAAAACACGACAAACTGGACAAATTCACCCCAAAACCCAACAAACTGGACAAAGCCACCCCAAAACACGACAAATTGGACAAATTCACCCCAAAACCCAACAAACTGGACAAAGCCACCCCAAAACACGACAAACTGGACAAATTCACCCCAAAACCCAACAAACTGGACAAAGCCACCCCAAAACACAACAAATTGGACAAAAACCCATCCCAAAACTCAACCCACTGGACAAATCCACTCCAAAGCAAGAAAAATTGGACAAAATCACCCCAAAAACCAATAAATTGGACAAATTCACCCCAAAACACAACAAAATGCAGAAATCTATGCCAAAACACGATAAGCTGGGTAAAAATCCATCCCAAAACTCATCCCACTGGACAAACCCACCCCAAAACACAACAAATTTGACAATTCCATCACAAAACACGACAAATTGGACAATTCTATGCCAAAATCCAATAAACTCAACAAATCCACCCTAAAACACAACAAACCGGACAAATTCACCCCAAAACGCAACTCTTTGGGACAAACTCACCCTAAAACCCAACAAACTGGACAAACCCACTCCAAAACCCAACAAATTGCACAATTCTACCCCAAAACAGAACTCTTTTGGGCAAATCCACCAAAAATCCAACAAACTGGACAAAAATTCATCCCAAAACACAAAAGAATGGACAAACCCACCCCCAAACCCAACAAACTCAACAAACTCACCCCAAAACACAACAAACTGGACAGAAATCCATCCCAAAACTCATCCCACTGAACAAATCCATCCCAAAACCCATAAAATTGGATTCTAATCCAAAACCCAACAAGCTGGACAAAAATCCATCCCAAAACTTATCCCACTGGAGAAATCCACCCCAAAACATGACAAAATGGACAATTCTACCCCCAAACCCAACAAACTGGACACAGCCACCCCAAAACTCATCCCATGGGACAATTCCACCCCTAAAACACAACAAAATGGAGAAATCCACCACAAAACCCAACAAACTGGAAAAAACTCCATCCTAAAACTGAACAAACTGGAAAAAATCCACCCCAAAATCCAATAAATTGGACAATTCCACCCCAAAATCCAACAAACTGGACACAGCCACCCCAAAACCCAATAAATTGGACAAAAATCCATCTCAAAACCCAACTGACTGGACAAACCCACCCCTAAACACGACAATCTGGACAAACCCACGCCAAAACACATCAAACTGGACAAAGCCACCCTAAAAACCAACAAACTCAACAAAGCCACTCCTAAACTAAATAATTGGGACAAATCCAACCCAAAACCCAACAAACCGGACAAATTCACCCCAAAACCCAACCAACTGGAAAAACTCCATCCCAAAACTCATCGCACTGGACAAATCCACCCCAATACACAACAAAGTGGAGAAACTCACCCCAAAACCCAACAAACTGGACAAACACACCCCAAAACTGAACAAATTCAACCCAAAACCCAACAAACTGGACAAAAATCCATCCCAAAATTCATCTTATTGGACAAATCCATCCCAAAACCCAACAAACTGGACAAACCCACCCCAAAACCCAACAAACTGGAAAAATTCCATACCAAAACCCAATAAATTCACCCCAAAACCCAACAAATTCACCCCAAAATCACCTTGAGCAGCTTCTCCTTCTTCTTCCTCCACTCATCCCAGTCGCTGACGATGCGGCCCCAGAGGCTCCAGGTCTCCTCCTCCAGGGGCCCGAGTTGAGACAGGGCCAAGGAGCCGGGGCCGGGCGAGGAGGCACTGGCACGGCGCGCGCCATTCACCGAGCACAGTGACTTGGAGTCGGCCTCCAGCAGCCTGCGGAGCACAAAGTCAGCTGAAATTCAACTGAAACTGACCCAAAATTCACCTGAAACTCAGCCAAAACTGACCCAGAACTCATTCAAAACTCAACTGAAACTGACCCAAAATTATCCCAACACTAACCCAAAACTCACCCAAAATTCACCAAAAACTTAGCAAAAACTGACCCAAAATTCACCTGAAACTCAGCCAAAACTCACCCAAAATTCACCTGAAACTCCAAAACACCTGAAACGCCAAAACTGACCCAATGCTCACCCAAAATTCCACGAAAACTCACAAAATTCACCCAAAGCTGAAGCCAAACTGACCTAAAACTCACCTGAAACTGACCCAAAGCTGACCAAAAATTCACCCAAAACTGACCCAAACTGAACCAAAATGTGCCCAAAGGAGATTGGAGTGACCCAAAAATGGAGATATTCACCCAAAAATGGAGATAGATCAACTAAAAATTGAGATATTCCAGCCAAAAATGGAGATCATTCACCTAAAAATGGAGATAAATCAACTAAAATTGGAGATATTCAGCCAAAAATGGAGATATTTGCCCAAAGATGGAGATATTCCACCCAAAAATGGCAATATTGACCCAAAAATGGAGATATTCACCCAAAAATGGAAATATTCACCTAAAAATTGAGATAATTCACCTAAAAATGGAGGTATTCATCCAAAAATTGAGATATTCTCCCAAAAATGGAGATAATTATCCTAAAAATGGAGATATTGCATCCAAAAATTGAGATATTCACCCAAAATTGGAAATCTTTCAACTAAAAATGGAGATATTCACACCAAAATGGAGATATTCCACTGAAACATGGAAATATTCACTTTAAAATGGATATATTCCTAAAATTGAGATATTTCCCCAAAAATGGAGATAATTCAACTAAAAATGGAGATACTCATCTAAAAATTGAGCTATTCTCCCTCAAAATGGAAATATTCACCCATAAATAGAGATATTCCACCTAAAATGGAAATATTCCCCAAAATTTGAGATATTCACCTAAAAATTGAGAAAATTCAACTAAAAATGATGATATTCCCCAAAAACTGGGTCAAAAAATGGAAATATTCCCCTGAAAATTACCCCAAAAATTGAGATATTCTCCCCAGAAATGGATCTCTTGCCCAAAACCCCCAGGAAATCCATTTTAACTCCAATTTTTTGCCCCAGAAAAATGCAGAAAATATTAAAAATTCCCTTTTTGCTGACTGGTTCTGCTCCTCCAGCTTGGCCAGAACTCCAATATCTCCAAAAATGGAAATATTCACCCAAAAATAGAGACAAGTCACCTAAAAATAGAAATATTCCAGCCAAAAATGGAGATATTCACCAAAAAATGGAAATATTCACCCAAAAATGGAGAAAATTCACCTAAAAATGGAAATATTCTTGCCAAAAATGGAGATAGTCACCCAAAAATGGAAATATTCCAGACAAAAATGGAGATATTCACCCAAAATTTTAGATATTCACCCAAAAACTGAGATAATTCACCTAAAAATGGAGATATTCACCCATAAATGGAGATATTCCACCCAAAAATGAAGATATTTACCCGAAAATGGAGATATTCATCCAAAAATGGAGAAAATTCACCTAAAAATAGAAATATTATCCCAAAAATGGAAATATTCCACCCAAAAATGGAGATAAATCAATGAAAAATGGAGATATTCACCCAAAAAATGGAAATATTCCACCCAAAAATGGGTCAAAAAATGGAGGCATTCCCCGAAAATTTGAGATATTCTCCCCAAAAATGGATCTCTTGCTCCAAACCCAAAGAACATCAATTTTAACTGAAATTTTTGCCCCAAAAAAAGACAGAAAATATCAAATATTCCATTTTTCTGACTGGTTCTGCTCCTCCAACTTTGCCACAACTCCAATATCTCCAAAAATGGAAATATTCATCCAAAAATAGAGATATTCTCCCAAAAATTGAGATATTCCAGCCCAAAATGGAGCTATTCCACCTAAAAATGGAAATATTGACCCAAAAATGGAAATATTCCACGTAGCAATTGAGATATCACCCCGAAAATGAAGATAATTCACCTAAAAATGGAAATATTCTTCCCTAAATGTGGAAATATGCCCCAAAAATGGCTCAAAAAATGGAAATGGAAATATTCCCAATAAAATGGCAAAAAAAATTTAAATATTCCCCTAAAAATGACCGAAAAAATTGAGATATTTTCCCCAGAAATGGATCTCTTGCTCCAAACCTCCAGGAAATCTAATTTTTGCCCCAAAGAAGTGCAGAAAATATCAAATATTCCATTTTTCTGACCGGTTCTGCTCCTCCAGCTTGGCCGCAACTCCAATATCTCCAAAAATGGAAATATTCATCCAAAAATGGAAATATTCACCCAAAAATTGAGATATTCCAACCATAAATGGAGATATTAACCCAAAAAATGGAAATATTCCACCCAAAAATGGAGATAAATCAACTAAAAATGGAGATATTCACCCAAAAATTGAGATATTACCCCAAAAATTGGAAATATTTCAACTAAAAATGGCGGTAATTCACCTAAAATGGAAATATTCCACCCAAAAATGGAGATAATTCAACTCAAAATTGAGATATTCATCCAAAAATGGAAATATTCCACTGAAACATGGAGATAGTCACTTTAAAATGAAGATATTCCAACCAAAATGGAGATATTTCCCCAAAATTGGAGATATTCTCCCAAAATTGGAGATATTTCTCTTAAAACCACTCCAATAATGGAAATATTCTTCCTAAAATCACTCAAAAAATGGAAATATTCCCAATAAAATGAGTCAAAAAATTGAAATATTCCCCCGAAAATGACTGAAAAAATGGAGATATTCCCTCCGAACCCAAACAACATCAATTGTAACTGAAATTTTTGTCCAAAAAAGACAGAAAATATGAAATATTCAATTTTCTTGACTGGTTCTGCTCCTCCAGCCGGGCCAGCAGCTGCAGCTCCTCAGGGCTCAGCTGCTCCCCCGGGGCCGCCGGGGCCGGAAGCGACTCTGGGACTTGGGAACCACCGGGAGAGGCCATGGCCGGGTCACCTGGGGGGAAAAAATTACATTTTAGATGGAAAAAACACATTTTAGATTGAAAAAAATCACATTTTATAGTGAAAAATTCACATTGGAGCCCAAAACTTCCCGTTTCAGCCCCAATCCCCATTGCCCCAGGGCCCCTCCAGGAGCCAGGAGAGGCCATGGCCGGGTCACCTGGGGGGAAAAAACTAAATTTGAGAGTGAAAAATCAATTATAGATGGAAAAATCACATTTTAGATTGAAAAAAATCACATTTTATAGTGAAAAATTCACATTGGAGCCCAAAACTTCCCATTTCAGCCCCAATCCCCATTGCCCCACAGGGCCCCTCCAGGAGCCGGGAGAGGCCATGGCCGGGCCACCTGGGGGGAAAAATTCATATTTTAGATGGAAAAATCACATTACAGATGGAGAAATTCCCATTGCAGATGGGAATTTTCAGCCCCAAAATGTCACATTTCAGCCTCTTCAGCCTCAAAATTCCACATTTCAGCCCCAAAAATTCCCATTTCACCATGAAAAATTCTCATTTCAGCCCGAAAATTCTCATTGGTGTCCAAAAATTCCCATTTCAGCCCAAAAAATTCCCATTATAGTCCCAAAATTCCAATTGGAGCATCAAAAATTCCCATTGTGGCCCCAAAATTTACATTTCAGCCATAAAATTCTCATTTCACCACGAAAATTTCACATTTCAGCATCAGAAATTCCCATTTCAGCTGTAAAATGTCACATTTCAGCCCCAAAAATTCCCATTTCAGAATGAAAAATTCCCATTTTACCATGAAAAATTCACTTTTCAGCATCAAAAATTCCCATTGCTGCCCAAAAATTCACATTTTCAGCTTGAAAAAAATCACATCAAAAATTCCCATTTCACCATGAAAATGTCACATTTCAGCATCAGAAATTCCCATTGTGGCCCCAAAATCCCACATTTCAGCCCAAAAATTCCCATTTCAGCTCAAAAATGCACATTGGAGTCTTAAAAATCGAATTTCAGCCTCAGAAATTCACATTTCAGCCTAAAAATCCCAAATTTCACCCCAAAATTTGAATTTTTGGCCACAGAAATTCACATTTCAGCCTTAAAATCCCAAATTTCACCCCAAAATTTGAATTTTTCACCTCAAAATTTCACAATTCATCCCAAAATTCAACTTTTAAGTCCCAAAATCCCACATTTCATTTCCAAAATTTCACATTTCAGCCCAAAAATTGGAATTTTTGGCCCAAAAATTTCACATTTCAGCCTTAAAATCCCAAATTTCACCCCAAAATTTAAAATTTTAAGCCCCAAATTTTCACATTTCACCCCAAATTCCTACATTTTATTCCCAAAATTTGAATTTTTGTCCCCAAAATCCCAGATTTTGTTCCAAAAATTTCAAATTTCAGCTCCAAAAATCCCAAATTTCAACCCAAAATCCCACATTTAATTCCCAAAATCCCACATTTTAGCCCAAAAATTCCCATTTCAGTCTTAAAATCCCAAATATCTGCCCCAAAATTCCCATTGCAGCCTGTAAAGTTCCCATTTCACTCCCAAAATTTGACTTTTTGGCCCCAAAATTTCACATTTCCCCCCAAATTCCCACATTTCATTCCCAAAATTTGACTTTTTGGCCTCAAAATCCCACATTTTGTTCCTAAAATTTCAAATTTTAGCTCCAAAAATCCCAAACTTCACCCCAAAATCCCACATTTAATTCCCAAAATTCACATTTCACCACAAAAATTCCCATTTCAGCCTCAAAATTCCAAATTTCTGCCCCAAAATTCCCATTGCAGCCTTTAAATTTCCCATTTCACCCCAAAAATTTGACTTTTTGGCCCCAAAATTTCACATTTCACCCTAAATTCCCACATTTTATTCCTAAAACTTCACATTTCAGCCCAAAACCCCAAATTTCACCCAAAATTTCCCACATTTTATTCCTAAAATTTCACATTTCAGTCCCAAAATTTGACATTTTGGCCCCAAAATCCCAGATTTTGTTCCAAAAATTTCAAATTTCAGCCCCCCAAACCCCAAATTTCACCCCAAAACTTGAATTTTTTGCCTTAAAATTTCACAATTCATCCCAAAATTCAACTTTTAAGCCCCAAATTTTCCACATTTTATTCCTAAAATTTCACATTTCACCCCAAATTCCCACATTTCATTCCCAAAATCTCACATTTCACCCCAAAATCCCACATTTTATTCCTAAAACTTCATATTTCAGCCTCAAAATCCCCATATTTTACCCAAAATCCCACATTTCAGCCCGGAAATTTGAATTTTTGGCCTCAAAATTTCACATTTCAGCCCCAAAATCCCACATTTCATTCCCAAAATTTCACACTTCAGTCCCAAAATTACATATTTCATCCCAAAATCTCACAATGCAGAATCAAAATCAAATTTCAGCCCCAAAATTTGACATTTTGGTCCTGAAATGTCACATTTCAGCCCCAAAAAGGGGAGGTCACCCCAAAAAACCCCAAAAATGGGGAGTTTGACACAAAAAAACCCCCAAAAGCTCCAAAAAGGGGGGATCACCCCAAAAAAATCCCCAAAATTGGGAAGTTTAACCCAAAAAAAAAAAAAAACAAAAATGGGGGGTTTGACCTCAAAAAAAAAACAAAAAGGGGGAGTTTGACCCCTCCAAAAAAACAAAAATCCCCAAAACCCCCCAAAAAACACAAAATTGGGAAGTTTGACCCCCAAAAAACCAAAACGGGGGGTTTGACCCCAAAAAAAAACCCAAAAGGGGGAATTTGAGCCCCCCAAAACACCCAGAAAGGGGGAATTTTTCCCCAAAAAAAACCCAAAAAGGGGGGTCAGACCAAAAGCTCCACAAAAGAGGGGGTGACCCCAAACCCACCCATAAAAGGTGGCTAAATCCAAATCCCCCCAAAATTGGGGTGACCCCAAAGCCCCCCCTAAAAGGGGGATCATTCAAAATCCCCCAAATCTGGGGTGACCCCAAACTCCCAAAAATTGAGGTGACCCCAAATTCCCGTCACAAATGGGGGTGACCTCAAAATCCTCACAGACCAAAAAATCCCCCAAAAATGGGGTGACTCCAAATCTCCTAAAACTGGGGGTGACCCGAAATCCCCAAAACTGAGGTGACCCCAAATCCCCCCAAAATGGGGGTGACCCCAAATCCCCCATAAAGAGGGTGTCAGGCTAAAAAAAAAACCAAAAATGGGGATGACCCAAAACCCCCCTCACAAACGGGGGGGGGGGGGGGGGGGTGTCGAACCAAAACCCCAAAACTGGGGTGACCCCAAATTCCCAAAAATAGTGGTGACCCCAAATCCCTCCAAAAATGGGAGTGATCCCAAACCCCCCTCACAAAGGAGGGGTCAAATGAAAGCCCCTAAAATTGGGATGACCCCAAACCCCCAAAATGGGGGTGACCCCAAATCCTTCCATAAAAGGGGGGGTGACTCCAAATCCCCAAAATTGAGGTCACCCCAAATTCCCCCTAAAAATGAGGGTGACCCCAAATCCCCTAAAAGCTGGGGTCAATCCAAACCCCCAAAATTGGGGGTGACCCCTAAAATCACCCCCAAATCATCCCCAAACCACCTCAGGGCTGTGCCCCCTCACAAAAAAAGGCGGGAACCCCCAAACCCCCTCAGAGCTGCCCCCCCCCCACCCAGAAAAAGGCGGGAACCCCGCAGCCCTCAGGCGGCGCCTCCATTTTGTCCCTCAGGGTGCGGGGCGATGCCAGCCCACCCACCCCTGAGGGAGAAAACTCTCCATTGTCTGCCGGCAGCGCTCTCACGGCCCTCCCCGCCCCTCGTACCTGCGCTCAGAGCCCACGGCAAGCCCCGGCCGCCCTCCCGGGGGTCTCCGCGCCCGTCCGCCGCACCGGGACCACCGCAGCCGCCGCCATCTCAGAGCTCCCGCCGCTGCCCTGGCCGGCACGGAGTGACTGCGGTGAAACGGCGCGGCCAATCAGAGCGCGAGTTCCGCGTCTGCGACCGCCCACCTGCAGCATCTTGGCCAATCATGAGAGGGAGTGCGGTGACAAGGCCCTTTCCCTCCTTACTTTTCCCGCAATTTTCCCCTCAGTTTCCTGCTCTTTCCCCCTCACATTTCCCACCATTTTCCCCTCACGTTTCCCGCCCTTTTCCCCTTTTGGGGTTAATTTGGGAGGATTTGGGTTTTTCTGGGATCTCTTGGTGGTGTTTTTTGGAGGTATTTGGATTTTTGGGGTGGTTTTGGGGTTGTTTGGGGGGATTTGGGGCTGGATTTGGGGATTTGGGCTTATTTTGGGTGGATTTGGGGGTTTTCGACATTTTTTGGGGTCATTTTGGAAAGATTTGGGGTGATTTGGGATATTTTGGGGCTTTTTGGGAGCTATTTGGATTTTTTGGGTGGATTTTGGGTTAATTTGGGAGGATTTGGGATTTTTGGAGGGTTTGGGGGTTATTTAAAAATCGGAATTTTGGGGGGATTTGGGGGATTTTTTGGGGGGATTATTTTTTGGGATTTTTTTGTTGGGTTTTTTTGGGGGGGGATTTTTTGTGGCATTTTTTTGGGAAAAAAAACCCCAAAAAATCGAATTATTCCAGGAAAAAGGTAGAAAAAAATGGAAAAATAAAAATTAGGAATTAAAGCAACAGCAAAAAAAAAAAAAAAAAAAAAACGATTGAAAGGGTGAAAATTGAAAAAAAGTCATTTTTTCAAGGAAAAAAATCGGATTTTTTTGTTGGTTTTAATTAATTTTCATGATTTTTATTATTATTTGATTTTTTATTCCCCAATATTTTGGTATTTTTACCAAAAATGGGATTTTTTTTCCTAGACATCTTGATTTTTTTTTTCCAAAAAGTTGTGGGTTTTACCCCCCCAAAATTGTAATTTTTTAAACTAAATTTGATTTTTTCCCCAAAATTGGAATTTTTTTTTCCTAAAAATTTGGAGTTTTTTTCCCCCCAAAATGAGATTTTTTTTTGTTTTACAAAAATAAGATTTTTCCCCCAAAATTGTGGGAGTTTTTTTTTACCAAAATCAGGATTTTTTTTTAACCAGAATTGTTATTTTATCCCCCAAAATAAGATTTTTTTAACAAAAAAAAAAAAGATTATTTCCCCAAAATTCTGAATTTTTTCCCCAAAATTGTGATATTTCGACCCAAAAATTAGATTTTTTTGCCCAAAAATGTGACTTTTCTGCCCAAAATTATGAATTTTTGTACAAAAAATGTGATTTTTTCCCCAAAAACGAGATTTTTTTTTGCCTAAAATGATGATTTTTATTTTTTCAAAATTGGGAATTTTTTTTTGCCCAAAATTATGGATTTTTTAACAGATAAATGAGATTTTTTTCCACCAGAATTCTGATTTTTTCTTAACGAAAATGAGATTATTCCCCCTAAATTCTGATTTTTTTTCCCCCCAAATTCAGTTTTTTTCCCCAAAAACATTCCGATTTTTCCCCCGAAAAAAAATCTGATTTTTTCACAAAAAAATGTAATTTTTTTTTTCTAAATTGTAATTTTAAAAACCAATTCTGATTTTTTCCCAAAACCTGATCTTTTTCCCCCAAATTGTTACTTTTTTTACAAAAAATGAGATTATTTTCCCCAAAATTCTGATTTTCCCCCTAAATTCTTATTTCATTCCCCAAACTTACGATTTTTTAACCCAAAAATTAGATTTTTTTTTCCCAAAATTATGAATTTTTTTACAAAAAATGAGATTTTTTTCCACAAAATTCTGATTTTTATTTCCCAAATTTCTAAATTTTTAGCCCAAAAGAAGAAATTTTTGGCCCAAAATGCAATTTTTTTTCCCCAAAATTAGGATTTTTTATTCAAAAAATGTGGGTTTTTTTCCCCAAAATTCTGATTTTTCCCCCAAAATTCTGATTTTTTTTCCTCAAAAACAAGATTTTTTTTTCCCTAAAATGATGGGTTTTTTTTTTTTCAAAATTGGGATTTTTTTGCCCAAAATTGGGGGTTTTTTTTCCCAAAAATGGGGTTTTTTACCCGATCTGCGGCTCCTCGCCGCTGCCCCAGCGCCATTTCCCCTCCTGCTCTGCCTCCCTCACCCCCAGCCAAAAATCGGATTTTTCCCCCAAAATTGCAACTTTTTTTACAAAAAATGAGATTATTTTCCCCAAAATTCTGATTTTTTTCCTAAAATTGCGATTTTTTTACCCAAAAATGAGATTTTTTTTTGCCCAAAATTATTAATTTTTCTTACAAAAAATGAAATTTCTTCCCCCCCAAAATTCTGATTTTTTCCCAAAAACGAGATTTTTTTTTTGGCCTAAAATGATGATTTTTTTTTTAATCAAAATTGTGATTTTTTTTTGAACCAAAATTGGGGTTTTTTTACCCAATCTGCGGCTTTTCACCATTGGCCCAGCGCCATTTCCACTCCTCTGCGTCCATCACCCCCAGCCAGTAGGAGCTGCTGCGGTTGCTGTTCTGCACCAGGAATAGCTGCAAAAAAAACCCCAAAAAACACCCCAAAAAACATCCCCAAAACACCCCCAAAATACCCCAAAAAACACCCCAAAATACCCCAAAACTATCCAAAAAATGCCCTAAAAATACCCTCCAAAATCCCCTAAAAACACCCCAAAAACACCCCAAAAACACCCCAAAAATATCCTAAAAGTGCCCTATAAATACCATCAAAAATTTTTAAAAATACCCCAAAATTCCTAAAAAATTCCCAAAAATACCGAGAAAATCGCCCAAAAATTCCTTTAAAATTCCCCAAAAACTACCCCAAAATAACCCCCCAAAAAATCCCCAAACCCCCCAAAAACCCCAAAATCCCCCCAAAAATTAACAAAAAACCCAAAAATCTCCCCAAATCCCCTAAAAATGCCCCCAAAAATCCCCTAATATTACCCCCAAAAATTCAAAAAAATCCCCCAAAAATTCCTCAAAAAATTCCAAAAATACCGAGAAAATCCCCCTAAAAATTCCTTTAAAATTCCAAAAAAAATTCCCCAAAATGCCCCAAAGATACCCCAAAATAACCCCAAAAAAACCCCAAAACCCCAAAAATCCCCCCAAAAATTAACAAAAAACCAAAAAAATCTCCGAAAATCCCCTAAAAATCTCCCCAAAAATTCAAATAAATCCCCGAAAAATTCAAAAAAATCCCCCCAAAATTCCTCAAAAAATCCCAAAAATGCCGAGAAAATCCCCCCAAAAATTCCTTTAAAATTGCAAAAAAAATTTGCCCAAAATGCCCAAAAAATACCTCAAAGTAACCCCAAAAAAAAACCCCAAAACCTCCCAAAACCCCAAAAATCCCTCCAAAAATTAACAAAATACCCCCAAAAATCTCCCAAAATCCCCTAAAAATACCCCCAAAAATTTAAAAAAAATCCCCCAAAAATTCCTCAAAAAACCCCAAAAATGCCGAGAAAATTCCGCCAAAAATTAACAAAAAAACCCCCAAAAATCTCCCTAAATCCCTAAAAATACCCCCAAAAATTCAAAAAAGCCCCCCAAAAAATTCCTCAAAAAATCCCAAAAATGCCAAGAAAATCGCCCCAAAAATTCCTAAAAAATTCCCCAAAATACCGAGAAAATCGCCCAAAAATTCCTTTAAAATTCCCCAAAAACTACCCCAAAATAACCCCCGAAAAAACCCCAAAAACCCCAAAAAAACCCCCAAAATTAACAAAAAAATTCTCCAAAAATCTCCCCAAATACCCTAAAAATGCCCCCAAAAATCCCCTAAAAATACCCCCAAAAATTCAAAAAATCCCCCAAAAATTCCTAAAAAATCAAAAAAATGCCAAGAAAATCGCCCCAAAAATTCCTCTAAAATTAAAAAAAAATTGCCCAAAATGCCCCAAAACTACCCCAAAAAAAACACCAAAGCCTCCCCAAAAATTACCAGAAAACCCCCTAAATCTCCCCAAATCCCCTAAAAATACCCTTTAAAATAAACAAAAAAGCTCCAAAAAATTCCCCCAAAATTCCTCAAAAATCCCCCCAGAAAAATTCCCCAAAAAATATCCCAAAATACCCAAAAATACCCCAAAATAACCCCAAAAATCCCCGGAAAAATACAAAATACACCGAAATATTTCCAAAATTAACAAAAATACCCCCAAAACCCAAAATACCCCCAAAATTCCCCCAAAAATTTAGAAAAGTGTCCCCATGAATTAAGAAAAATATCCCCGAAAATGAACTGAAATAAATGAATAAAAAATCCCAAAACATCCCTAAAAACCCTCAAAAAACCCCCCCCAAAACCCCCAAAAATTCCCCAAAAAATTCCCAAAAAACCCTCCAAATATCCCAAAATTTGGGGTTTGGGATTTGTGGTTTGGGGATTTGGGATTTGGTTTTTGGGATTTGGGATTTGGGATCGGGGAGGGATTTGGGATTTGGGGTTTGGGATGAGGGATTTAGGATTTTTAGGATTTGGAATCGGGATGGACTTGGGATTTAGGATTTTTAATTTTTTGTGATGGGGATGGATTCGGGATTTGGGATTTTTTGGGATTTTGGATTTGGGATTTGGGAATTTTTGGGATGGGGATGGATTTGGGATTTGGGATTGAGGATTTTTATGGATTTGGGATTTTGGATTTGGGATTTAGGATTTTTTTTAGGATTTGAGATAGGGATGCATTTCGGATTTGGGGTTTGGGATTTTTTGGGATCGGGATGGATCTAGACAGCGCCTTGTGTTTGGGAGTGAGCAGCTGCTGGTTTTTTGCAATTGCCTTCGCTGTGCACTGAATGCCAGGGTGGGCTGTGCACTCTAGTGCAACGAGCTGGGCAGCAGAAAACAGAGAGCACAGACGTCTGACAGCAGTTTGAAGCTTGCCTAGGAAAGAGCAGTGTTTTTGGAGTGTTCAGCAAATCCATGTTTCTGGGTAAGAGCGGGATGCGTGCACTGTGCTGGCAAGCTTTCTCCCTGCGAGACACGCTGGAAAAGCTTTTGGCGATGATGCAG